TTAAAGTCAATTAATTAATATATGGTTGAAATGGTGTTATATTGATCGTCGATTTAGGGTTGTGATGCTTCGATCTTACTTGATGAGACCCCTTCGATCGAAAGTGAGAAGACTGCGTTGCCAAATCTTGGGTCCGCAAGAGGTTATGGAATCATAGAAGATGCAAAGAGAGGTGGAAAAGATTTGTCCCATGGTTGTTTCATGTGCTGACATACTAGCTGTTGCAGCTCGCGATGCATCAGCTGCTGTAAGTCCATATAATTTGTTAATTTCTTAGAAGGATGTGTGTGTATATATATATAGAGAGTCAAACATCTCTATTACAATATCCCTATATAACAGTCACTCACCGTAAAAGCCAAGTTTTTCTTGAAACCGATTATTATGTTACTCGTATGTTATAATATATGCCCTCTGTAACAGCACTTCACTATAGCAAGCAAAAAAAATCGAAGCATACGAGGGGCTGCTGTAGAGAGGTTTGATTGTATATATATGTTCTAGACTACAACGAACAGAACAAGTTTTATCAACTTTAATCTGTGCAAGTTAAATTAATACTATATATAGTATTATACTATAACCAATTAATTGGCAATCCTAATGCAAGATTATGCTGAAAGCGATAGCTGGCCAGATTTATTGTTTACTTTCCTATTTCTTAGCCGATATACATAGAATATACACACTAATTAAACAAGGTTATATAGATATTGTACATATATTATACATCTGTTAGCTATTTTATTTTTAGTTTAAGTGGTTAAATAAGCAGCTATTTAAGTTAATAATTCTTCAAAATAATATCAGGTGGGAGGTCCATCATGGACAGTGACACTTGGAAGAAGAGATTCAACAACTGCAAGTAAGACACTTGCTGAAACTGATCTCCCCGGTCCATTTGATCCTCTTAATAGGCTTATTTCTAGCTTTGCAAGCAAAGGACTTAGCACAAGAGATATGGTCGCTTTGTCAGGTAATTATTCAGGGTATTAACATTTATCATTATCATTTAGAATCCGCAAGGAAATCTTGGAGGAACTAGTAAAGTTGTCATCATATGACCAGGAGGTCACGGGTTCTAGCCGTGAAAAACAGCCTCTTGCAGAAATGCAGTATAAGACTGTGTCCGATAGACCCTTGTGGTCCAATTCTTTCCCGGACCCACGCATAGCGGAAGCTTAGTGCATCGGGCTGCCCTTTTATTTTCATTTAGAATCCGAACAAAAATAGAACCTTATATATTTGCTTTGATTTCCAGGGGCTCACACAATAGGCCAAGCACAATGTTTCCTTTTTCGTGATCGGATTTATAGCAATGGAACAGACATTGATGCTGGATTTGCAAGCACTAGAAGACGTCAATGTCCTCAAGAAGGAGAGAATGGAAATCTAGCACCACTTGATTTGGTTACACCAAATCAATTCGATAACAATTACTTCAAAAATCTCATCCAAAAGAAAGGTCTTCTTCAATCAGATCAAGTTCTTTTCAATGGAGGATCAACAGACAATATTGTTTCTGAATATAGTAACAGTGCTCGAGCTTTCTCGTCAGACTTTGCTGCTGCTATGATCAAAATGGGAGATATTAGTCCCCTAAGTGGTCAAAATGGGATCATAAGAAAAGTTTGTGGCAGTGTCAACTAGTTCTTAAATTCCAGTCTAGGCAGCTACTAAAATATTGCACTCATAAAATAAACTTTCTTTTCCAATATTGTGAAGTAAACTCCACCTAGTTGGCACGTCCAACTTAATAAGAAAGAAAAAGTTTGCAACGTGTACTCTTAAATATGTTGGTATTATTAATAAATAATAATGCAAAGTCAAGATTCCTTTGTGGTCCCTTTTCTTTCTCACTTCTTTGTCTTTTATGAAAGACAAAGTATGATCATCTATCCTGAAGGCAAAATGGATAAATTTATCCCCCGCACATTTGGACAGGCGGATCTAGGATATTTATAATAAGGGTACACCACTAAAGAAAGAAGAAAAAAAAAAGTAGTAAGTGGGATTTGATCCCTACACTTCTTGATAAATAACACAACATTCGTCCAAATACACCATTTAGCCTCTTTGGAGCATGGGTGTCAGCAGATAATATTAGATCAATTCAAAAAAATATGTACACATAATACCTAATTTAGCGGAAAGACCATGGGTTCACTTGGAGAGCGACCGGTCTTAACAATTTGCACCCTAGTTGGGGCCGAAATCGTTTTCAAGACAAGCCACTACACAGTATTGGTTTGATAAGTTATTTCAATTTTCTTTTAATTGTTCTTGGTCAATATTATCAACTATTTTTCTAACAAAATATTCCATATTATTTGTATAGCTATAAAACTTTTGAAACCTATAATGTTAAACATGTCATAGCATTTATATTGGTGTAAAAGCTTTTAATTAAAAAATATTATATAAAATATGTCATTCTTAAATGGACTAATAAAAAAATAGTGTCACAAAATAGAATAGCAACAGCCCTTGCTCATTTGCCAGATCATACGAACTGTCTGCGGCTCACTAAACTTATCAATCAAAAGCTTATTACATGTATTGTTTCCAACTGTATTTGTATTCATTTAATTCTTTAATTCTCTATGTAATGTTTCAACAATGAAATAAATTATTTGTTATGCTTTTAAGTTTAGAGTTTTAACCCAATGTTTCACATGTAACTTAGCTTCATTGATTAAGTTGGAATATAGCTTCTCAATATTGAAACCACAAATGACCTCCCTATCTCCAAAGAGAAAAACATTACTTTGTCAGATACAAGATTTACTGTAGTTGAGCAATTTAAGAATCTCAGTACGTCATCCAGAAAAGTGGCCCTGCGAAAAAGATCTTTATATGCTGCCCAAGGTGTTTCCATATACAACCACAAACATGGCACATTATTTTCCATTTATTAGATCACTCAGGATTGAACAAAACTTGGCAACTCATACAATAATCAAAAGTTAATACCATTAAACCTATGATACAATATATCTTAATGTCAAGTACTGTAGATTAAACTGCCTGCATCAAATATAAACCCACTATGTCATTCAGATCCACAATAAGCCATTTACTAATCCCAAAAATTGGCTCGAACCAAGAGGCGTGACAAGTGTCCTGACCAGCAAGATGCTCCCCCTACAAAACTGATTCAACCAAATGTTTTGATCATAAATTGCTGATAAAGGATAAGAATTAAGAAACAAGAAAGCATGTCAAGCAACAACGACGACGGAAGATTAAAGTATCCTGCTTATCAAGGATCTATAGGAACTCAGAATTTATGCTTCCAGATCCGTCTTACATTAAGTCTCTTGGGAACACGTTCTTTCGGATGTTCCCCTCTTTCTCCTTTTCTTCTATGAACTTAGGAGATGGCTGACGGGGAAATTCCAAATCATAGCACACCACTGAAGCTCACAAAACCAGAACCAACACAAATTGAAAACAAGAAAAGAACAACGAAATGAAGAGGACGTGCCAAGAAACAAGCCCTCTGCTACGAGATTTACAGCTTCTACTGAGAGCAAGGTGGAAACAGAAAGTACTAAAATCTTTGCTGGTTTTCTGACCGAGCAGAGAACCTAAACTATCTTCGTTAGAGGAGAGACGTGCATTGCTGGAGTTGTATATCAATAGAGAAGGAAAGAAAGAGATGGTCCCAGTGCTGGAAGGATGAGACAGAGAAAGAAGAAAAAAAGAACTTAACGTTAGCGTTTCACACAAAAGATAACACATAGAAGCCTCACTAAATGAGAGGTCCAACATTTTATCCCTAAAAGTGACAAACACAAAGGAAAAAATGAATGTGCAAAACATTGAGCGACGGGCACAAGATTTTAGATGCAAGGTAAACTCCCTGCCAACAACCTACTTGGAATTCCGATCGGGAGAATTTCATAAGGATAGTATTGTGTGTAATTCGACGATAAAGAGGTTGAGAAAAGAGTTGCACGGTGGCAAAAGAGAGATCTCCCAAGGAAACTTTGATAAAGAGTACTACGTCTAGCAAACCAGCCAATTACATATCTTTGACGTCCATCCCAATGAGTGCAGCACGAAGGTCAGAAAGAACGTGCTGTTGTGGTAACACGGGAAGGGAACCATGTAGTGACCAGATGAGAGGTCTCTGTAGAGGGTTGTAAGCAGAGGCATGAGAAAGACTGCTCAAAACTGCCGTCAGGAGTGTTTTGAGATTCTAGAAGGAAAAAAAAAAAAAAAAA